GGGCCGGTGTGCGCAGTGCATGTGGCCACTGATGGGCCAGTGTGCGCAGTGCATGTGGCCTCTGATGGGCCGGTGTGCGCAGTGCGTGTGGCCTCTGATGGGCTGGTGTGCACAGTGCGTGTGGCGTTCAGAGCAAACGGCAAAGCGTCCTGGCTGGGGAATGGGAGTCCTCACACGGAGCCACCTCCGCGGGCCGCGCAGCCTTCAGCTCTCTGGTCTGTCCGGCTGAGATCAAGGAAGAGGGAGCTGGGGCCCTCACCATGAAACCAGGCTGCCCGGGATCACTGGGCACGCCCGCGCCCCCGGCCCGCCCGGCTCCCTGTGCTGGCTGGGGAGGCGCGCTGCTGCTCCATGTCCGGATAATCCCGCAGCCATACAGAAGCCACCCTCCCAGCCCAGCCCCCGCAGCCGCAGGGAGACTGTCCAGGGCTGGGTGCAAACAGCAGACCTTGGTTCTCACGGCGGTGGTGGGGGTCTGGGTTCAAGGTGCTGGCTGATTGGCTCCTGGGGCGAACCCGCTTCCTGCTGGCAGCGGCTGCCTCCTTGTCCTGCCCTCCCAGGGCAGGGAGAGCTCTTCCTCCTCCGCTCATAACGCCACTCATCCCGTGGGGAGCTTTCCCTTAGGATCCTAAAGCCCATCTCCACATAGCACTTTCCTGGGGGTTGGGCCTCCAACACATGAGTTTGGGGAGACAGAATTTGGGGAGACTGATGGTCCTCACAGTGCAGCTCTCTTGCCCGAGGAGGGGCTGGCGGTGGGGATGCTGGGCCCAACTTCCCCGTGCGGTGAACGCCCGTCCACACTCCCACCCAGCCTCTCCCTGCTCCATGCTCACTCCTCGCCCCATGAGCAGCCCCATGAATCACCTGAACAAGAAACTCATCTTGGCTCTATTTTTAGAGAACGACAGTCAAAGCACGAGGCTCTTCCATCCCAATCCATCAGCAAGCCCGTGCCAAGGGCTGGCCGTGCCCGGAGGGGTGAAGGGGCAGCAGCCGGGCACCACCGGGACCTGCTGCCGGGGCCGGGGCCGGGCTGGGGCCAGGGCCTGCACGCGACTCCGGGCAAGCTGCTCAGCCACACGGAGTCTTAGTTCCCCTTCTGTGTGAGGGCAACAGCACTCCCTCCAGTACCAAAGCACTCCGACAGCCACTGTGATCCAAATGCTGGTGGCTATCAATTACTGTGACCAGAACTCTGAGCATGGAAATACTCTGCATCTCACATTCATGTTTTTTAATTGATTTTAGAGAGAGAGGAAGGGAGAGGGAGAGAGAGAAGCATCGATGTGAGAGAGAAACATCGATCAGTTGCCTGTTCCACACACCCCGACCAGGGATCAAACCTGCAACCTGGGCATGTGCCCTGACAGGGAATTGAACCAGTGAACTATGAGTGCATGGGATGACGTCCAACCAACTGAGCCACACTGGCCAGGGCTCTACCCCTCACTTTAAAGGAACCTCAACTTTCCTCCCTTCTCCCCTGTTTCACTTGTGTTCCCCCTAAAGATATATTCAAGTCCTAACCGCAGCACCTGTAAATATTACCTCATTTGGAAATAAGCCCTTGGCAGAGGTAACCAAGTTAAGATGGGGGCATCCTAGGAAGGGTGGGTCCCTAATCCAGTGACTGGTGTCCTCACAGGAGGAAATTTGACACAGACATGCAGGAAGGAATGCCAGGAGGTGATGCAGGCAGAGACTGGGCAACACCAGAGGCTGGTGGCAGCCACCGGAATGCAGAGAAGGGCAGGGACCGGACTCCCTCAGCGCCTCCGAAGGAGCCAGCCTCCCCCGCTGACCTTGGATTCAGACTTCCAGCCTCCGGATCACTTTGAGAACAGGTATCTGTCCTATTAGGCCATCCGTTTGTGGCATTTTGTTGGGGCGGCTGTAGGAAATGAATATTCATAGGCATATACTAGGATTGCCAGAGCAAACATGGAACGAAGGGGAAGACTTTGGCCTTGACTTTGAAGGAACACTGTATTGCATTAGTTGGAACAAAGATTCCCCAAGGAATGCCCGTAAGAGGCAACTAAACCACAGCAGTGGGTGTGCAGGGCGCTGGAATACACAGTGACCTAGCACAGTGCACTTCAGGGTCAAGCAGACCCACGTGACCATGTGCGGGCACCTCTCCGCCTGCTGCCCGGTCGGTAGAATACCCTTGCTCCTTAGCTCAGTAGAATTACTGAAAAAAGCAACAATATTGCCTGTGGAAGCTTTGCACAGTGACGGACACATTAAAAACTCGAAGGTTGGCTATTGTATCACTCTTACTCCTCTTGTTAATGGAGTAAGGTCTCAGAAGCATAACTTCTCTGAGCCTCAGAGCTTCATACAATGAGCATAACAGGTATTCACGAGGCTGTGGTGAGCAATGGAAGAGAACGTGGACAGCCCTTTTAATTGAGACATAACTGACACGCAGCACTGTGCAAGTTTAAGGTGCACAATGTGCGGATTTGATACACTGGTAGATGGCAATACGACGGCTGCCTTCCTTCCCGTCACATAACTATCACTTCTTCTTTGTAGTGGGGACAACGGGTGGGCCTTAGGCCACCGCGATGATGGGGTGTGAGCCCTGCATTCATGAGCTCCAGCAATGCAGACCACCCTGAAGGGAGTGGCGCCCCTGAAAGGTCCCTTCACATACTTGAGCCTTGTAGTTCCTGGAATATGACAGTAGAGGGCAGCAGGGCCTCACTTTTTCCCCCTCACCCGCCGGCTTAGTCCTGGGAAACCAGCTACTTTTGAACAAGTGACTGCAGGCTCCTGTCCACAATCCCCAAGTGTCCCGGTGGGATGAAGTCCGCCACGTGCCTTCTTGTTAAAGGATAAAGCAATTCAGTGGGTGCGCACCGGGTGTCACGACCCCCAGCTTAAAACAGGGATTGTATTTTACAAGGGCCAGCGCATCAGAGCTACTGAATCATTCTGGGGCCTCACAGACCAATTTTTGCAAAATCAGCCCCTTTTGTGATCAATTTCTTAAGTTACCAAGTGATGAAACCCTGATTATGTTGGTTAGCTATAACATCCCACGCTCGGCCGGTCAGAGCTGGTTTCGCCTCGGCTTGTGGCCACGTGCTGACCAGTGTGTACTGTACAGCGGGCCTCCACCTCGCCTGAGCTTCCTGCGGAAGTGACGGACACCTCGCTCTCTCGTCCCCAGTCCCACTGCACGCCCCCAGCAGGCTGAGCGGCCCTCCTTCCTGTTAGAAATATTTCAGAAGCACCAAAGGTACGGAGGATGCGCACCAGGGACCAGCGAAGCCACTGTCAGGTGCCAGAAAGAAATATTTCCAACACACGGGAAGGCCCTGCACCTCCGCCCCCAGGAGTGACGCTCTCCTGGGGTTTCTCATCAGGACCCGCTTCCTCCCACGGGAAACACGGAAAGAGCCCAGCACCGCTTCCTGCTGTCCTACTAAGGGAGCCAGAGGTGCACACGCCACAGACGCTGAGAGAGTGGGGGGGTGGGAGCTGGGGGTGTATCCTGAGCTCCCGCCCCAGGTGCTGCGGGGAAGGGCTGCGGGGCAGGAGCAGAGGCGGTCACGGGGCCCTGCCCATCGGTGATGGAAACAGCCCCCCACCCGACCACCTACCGAGCACGGTGAGGACTGGCCCCTCGATGTGCGCCTGGATGTAGATGCGGCCGCGGCGCTCCGTGTGGTCCGTGCCGCAGAGGCTGGGGACGTTCATCACGCAGCGCTTGTGGACGTTCATCATGCAGGCTGGGGGCGGGGCGAGGCTCGGGTTGGCCAGGGCGGTGGCAGCCTGTCCCCACCAGGCACTGGGCCTCCTTCCCCTTCTCCCTTCCAGGCGGCTGAGACCCCTCAGCTTGGCCGCAGCAAGCCCGCCCAGCTGGGTCCCACCAGGAGGCTCCTCCACCCCCGACCCCCACCCTGGGGTCAGAGGAGGTGGAGCTTGTCCAGCCTCCCAAAGGCTAAGGGTGCACCCCACACCCCCACATCCCACACACCCCACACCTACACCCCACACACCCCACACCCTATACACCCCACACACCAACACCCCACACCCCACACACCCCACACGCCCCACATGCCCCACACACCCCACACCCTATACACCCCACACGCCCCACATGCCCCACACACCCCACACCCTATACACCCCACACGCCCCACATGCCCCACACACCCCACACCCTATACACCCCACACGCCCCACATGCCCCACACACCCCACACCCTATACACCCCACACGCCCCACATGCCCCACACACCCCACACCCTATACACCCCACACGCCCCACATGCCCCACACACCCCACACCCTATACACCCCACACGCCCCACATGCCCCACACACCCCACACCCTATACACCCCACACGCCCCACATGCCCCACACACCCCACACCCTATACACCCCACACGCCCCACATGCCCCACACACCCCACACCCTATACACCCCACACGCCCCACATGCCCCACACACCCCACACCCTATACACCCCACACGCCCCACATGCCCCACACACCCCACACCCTATACACCCCACACGCCCCACATGCCCCACACACCCCACACCCTATACACCCCACACGCCCCACATGCCCCACACACCCCACACCCTATACACCCCACACGCCCCACATGCCCCACACACCCCACACCCTATACACCCCACACGCCCCACATGCCCCACACACCCCACACCCTATACACCCCACACGCCCCACATGCCCCACACACCCCACACCCTATACACCCCACACGCCCCACATGCCCCACACACCCCACACCCTATACACCCCACACGCCCCACATGCCCCACACACCCCACACCCTATACACCCCACACGCCCCACATGCCCCACACACCCCACACCCTATACACCCCACACGCCCCACATGCCCCACACACCCCACACCCTATACACCCCACACGCCCCACATGCCCCACACACCCCACACCCTATACACCCCACACGCCCCACATGCCCCACACACCCCACACCCCACACGCCCCACACACCACACCCCACACCCCACATACCCCACATACCACACCCACACCCCACATGCCCCACACACCCCACACCCCACACACCCCACGGGCCCTGAAGCCAGAGTCACTAACTTCAGTACCAGGTGGCAGTAACAAGTGAGGGAAGGTGTACGTGAGGGGACTTGGCCAAGCTGACACCCCAGCAGCCCCCACTCCAGCACAGCAGGGGGGTGGGGGGCAAGAGGCCAAGGCTTCCCATTGGTGCAGATAAGCAGGAGCCCTGACAGCAGGTGGAGCCCCGTCTGAGCCAGGTACTTACTGTCACATTTCATCCCCTGGTGGATGAGTCCGTACAGCAGCGACCCGCAGTGGTCACAGAAGGTGGGGCTGGAGTAGGTGTGGATCTTGAACTTGTGCTTGCTCCGGGGGTCCTGAGGCCAAGAGAAGACGATAGGCCCGCGTCAGCGCATGCGTCCCTCTGCAGGGTCCCTGGAGAGCCCGCCCCACTCCTCACGCCTGTCAGGACCTTCGCTGGAGCCTGGCCCCGACGTGGTGCCCAGTAGCCAGTGGCCGAAGGGGCCAAGGAGCACTTGCTGTGCCTGCCTGCGGGGCCTCCGTCGGAGAACCCAGCCTGCTGTCCCTGCCTGCAGCAAGGACTGCCGGGGCAGCAGGCACAGTGCACACGGCAGGTAGACCGTGCACTCGCTCCCGTTCTCCCTCCAGCTCTCAGCAGGCCTCTGGAGCAGTGGTTCCCAACGGGGGCACACGCCCCACAGGGGCAATTTGATTTTAAGGGGGGCAATTTGAGAATGAGTTATTAACAGTGCATTTTCTGCATTTCTTATGGTTCTAGGGGCCTCATATACAGTATATAATGTACTAGAGGTCCGATGCATGAAATTCGTGCAAGGGGCTCGGCCCTCACGGCCCTGGCTTCATCCAGAGGTCGTCCGGAAGGTTGTTTGGTTGTCCAGTTTAATTAGCATATTACACTTTTATTATTATAGATATACTGACACATTTATGCATTTCAGTTCTCTATTATATGTCTTGAAATGTTATTCGCGATTTTTTCATATCATTTCATATTATATTTTTAACAATTTCTTAGTGAACTCTTCCTCAGTACTTCAACTGTCCTTCCGTTCTTTTATTTTTCTCTTTCATGGGTGCCATGTTCTTTGGCAGCTTGTTTAGACCAAGTTAATGACTTTTAGACTTCCTCCACATGAATAGAAGCTCACTTTTTGAAGAATAAGAATTCTATGGGGGGGGGAGGGGTCAGGATTTTAGACATGCTGAGGTGGGCGTGGCCAAAAGGAGGTTGGAATCCCTGTCTGGGACCTCTGCTGGGACCTCATCGCCTGCAGAACAGAGTTCAAGGCCCAATAAAGAGTCTGCAGGCTGTGGCGGAGACTGCGGGTTCCCACCAACACCCACTCTTCTCTTTAATAACAGAATCCTGGAGTTACAGCAGAGCACAGCCGCCCGTGAGAGACCGCACTTCCCGGCCTGCCTTGCAGCTGGTGGGCCGGTGTGACTGAGTTCTGGCCAATGGGACATGCGCGCTGCGGGGTCAGCTCCCTTAAAAGAGAGGTGTATAAACACCCCGGCCCTTGGGGCCCCTTTCCCCGTCACACCAGCTGGAAGACGGTGAGAACTGGAAGTGACCACTCTAGACTCAAACTTGGGCCAGGTGTCGAACGGATAAAACCATCCTCACTAGCCTTGGACTTTGTCCCTCGGGACAGACACCTGAGAAAAAACTTGCCTTCCATCTTCAGTCACTGTATTTAAGGGCTACTTGTTACAGCCGCTAACAAGCTCCCTAGCTGACAGCCTGCACGCATCATGAGGGAATGTGCTCTCCGCTATATCCCGGGAGATATGTTGTATTTGGCATAGAGGAGGAGCTCGATAAATATATAAAGAGCGAGAGTTCACAGTTATTGAGCTTTGACTCATGCCTGGAGCTATTTTCAGGGACAACCAGCCATGAAGGTACTTAATCGTCTAACAGCCCTATGAAGTATGTTCCAGTTACTACCCCACCCCCTTTACAGGCGAGGAACCGGAGAGAGCGGAGGTGCAGGGCCCTGCCCAGGGCTCCGCGTGGCTGCCACGGCTGAGCCGGAGAGCTGCGGTGGCAGCTGTGGGCTGAGACCACCCCCGACCACTGAGAGCCCTGCAGATGCACGCGCTGCTTAAGAAAACCACAACGACGCGGGGAGAGCTGTGCAGACACACGGGAGCCGGCCAGGAGGAAGGAGCCAATCAGCAAGCAGCCGGGGAAGTTCGTTTACGGTCCAAGTGGAGGCTGTTGGAGGCTCCTCCCTCGTCCCCTGCCTTAGCTTTCGGGGGGACTCAGGCTTGCAAGTGCCCACTCCACCCCCCACCCCCCACCCCACAGTTCCTCAGATACTAGACCGAGCAGGGCATGCCCCTCGCCTCTCCCACCTGGAGAGCTCGGAATACAGCCCACGGTCCCTGGGACCCGCGATCCTCAGGACAGCCCTGAGGGAGCCCGCCCGTGCCTGTCCCTGTGGTGCCACCGCCGAGATGGACGTATTTGCACCTGGAGGCCCCACTCCCTGGACACGGGCGACTGGAAGACAGGTGACATTTGGCTCCAATGGCTCCCATGGCTAGTGGCTGGGATGCAGGTGGCCAGGAGACAGGCAGCCCCAGGCTGAGGTGCCTCCAAGGAAGAGAGAGGAGCAAGGACAAAGGTCACGTGACCTCGGATGGGGCCTGGTGCCAGTCCCCTGCGGACCTGCCCTACAATTCAACCTGACGCCCCCGTGGCCTCTACACATCCTCCTTCGTGCGTCAGCGACCCGGGTGGGCAGCCGCCACCTGCAGCAGGGCGGAGGGCTGGGAGCTACAGGCCTAGGCCTCAGGCACTGCCCACTGACCAGGCAGAGGAACAAGGGCGGCTGTGCTGGGAGCTCACCCTTTCGCTGCCGGTCACAGCGAGGTGAGGTGGTGAGGGGCCAGCAGGGGAGAGGGTGGGGGGAAGATATGAAGGGGAGGCTCATGGGTCCAGTGGCTACTTACCAATTGGTGCAAAGCATGTCAGCATTTTCACAGCTGGCACCCTATGCTAGTGGGATGGGTTAAAGGTCAGCTCTGTCTTTAAACAAAACACGTCCCTTCCTCAGCCCGGGCCTCCCTCATGCTCAGGGGCCTCACGCCGGCGTCCATGCTTGCAAACTGAGCTTGGAAACAGGCTGCCTTTGGCCCAGATGGTGCTTCTTAAAAATTTGACTTCGTTGATTTGAAAATATTTAAAAATCATGAAATGTCAGCTCAAAATGTAAATTTCTGGCTCCTTTTAAAAAACTCCTTTTAAAAAAAACCACAAGTAGTGGCAACACTAACACATTGCTGCGGGCTGAGCAGCCGTTGTCCCCTTCGGGCAAGGGATACGCAATCCAGCTCTCCAGGCCCCACCGTTTCCCTGTTGTCTCAAGCCACGCCTGCCTCACTCTCCTGCCCCGCCTGGCCCCTCTGGCAGACACCCACCCCCTTTCCCTGCAGCACTCTGGCGGGGACCCAGCCACATGTGAGCACACTTCCTCAAGGCCTGGGCGAGTTCACTGGGCTCATGACCAGATGCTCTCCAAGACAGGGTCGAGGCCACCGTATCCCTATCCCAGCATCACCACCTGGCGTCCAGGCCTTGGTCATCTCTCCGCCCCGGAATCAGGTGCCTGAGACCCCGAAGTGACTCCTGTCCCCTATTTCCTGTGGCTCAGGCCCGCCACGCTCTGTCCTAGGCGAGCTGGCATTTCCACGTTTCCTTCCGCTTCTGATCCGGAGTCAAGAGACTGACAAATGACAACAAAATGCTAATCACCTGCTGTGACTTTTGCTGTCACCCTGAACTGAGCACAGACGCCTGCCACACATAGCACCGGGTGCTCCAGGTCATGTCATCCAATCCTCACTCCGGCACTGAGCGGGGGAGGGGGACAGTGTTATTCTGGACGTCCAGACGGCCAGCGAGGCTTAGGAAAGGAAACTGCTCGAAGTCTCCAAGCAAGACAACGGGAGAGACAGGCGTGGAAGCCCAGTGTGTCAGGCTCCAGCGGTGGGGACAGCGGGCAGAACGCCGGGCTGCCCCCCTGCTCCTCAGCCGCCCCCAGGGGGCCCCTACCTGACGGGGGGGTTACTGATGAGGACAAATCAGGCTCCAGCGGTGGGGACAGCGGGCAGAACACCGGGCTGCCCCCCTGCTCCTCAGCTGCCCCCAGGGGGCCCTACCTGACGGGGGGGTTACTGATGAGGACAAATGCAGCCCCGGCCAGTGACAGCCACATGGGGTGCCCTCCACCCGCCCCACAACCAGAGTCTCCATGGTGAGCACCCAACCCCGGGACCAAGGGCCTGAGCCCAGACAGCAGCTAAGAAGGGAGAAGCACAGACCGGAAACAAACCGCTGAGCCAAAGCCTGGAACAGCCTCTCCGGCCGGCATGGCCGTGCGGCCTGCTCTCAGGCGGCTGCAACCTGGCTGAGCGGAGGCCGAGCTGCGGGAAGAAGGAAGCTGACGGAAGCAGAGGTCGGGGAGGAAGGTCCGGCTGTGAGTTCAGGCTGTGCCACCCCCGCTGCTCAGCGCAGAAGCCCCTGAAGGGCCACTCGCAGGGCGCACGGGCAGGCGGAGCGGAGACCCAGCGGGAATCACCTCGGAACAGAGGGGGCTACGGCACAGGCTCTGGAGTCGCCGTGTGACCTCAGGCAGGTGACACCTCTCTGGGCCCCCGGCTCCTTGTCGGTGAAACGGAGAGAAACACCAGTGCCCCTCGGAGATCCTGTGGTGGGGAAAACGGCCATGCTGAGCGCAGGAGCCGCCCTGATGTTGCACGGCCATGTGCCGCCTGTAGAGTGATTTAGGCAGCGCTTCGTTTTAACTCACATGCCATTTTTACTTAAATAAAACTATTTTAAAACAAAACTCCGCAAGATTGTACACTCAGGAGACCAATGTGAAAATTATGTTTTTCCCGCCTACACCTGGGCATGGACTAGACAGGTCTTGGAGCGAACGCTTAAAACGAGAACATCCATCTGCCCGTCGCATCGCACAAGCGGCTCCCCGTCTGCACCCTCATCCCACCGCCTGGCATTTGTGCTGGAGGCCAACCCAGCGCAGAGCAATGGGACTGGGCACGGCTGTGCCTCGAAGGAGAGGGTGTCCGAGCAAACGTCCCCACAGCCCGTGGAGGGGGGGTCGCTGACAACCCACAGCGCCGCCCGCGGAGGGACGAGGCGCACCCCAAGGAACGGAAGCGCCGCGCTGGTGGGGAATCGCCATGGGGTGTTCGTGAGTGAAACTGAGAAAGGAAACGGAAACCCAGGTGCAGAAATGTGTGGGTCACATGTTACCATTTATCGTGAGAAAGTGAGGAGGGTCGCAGAGTGCACGGCTGG